AGCATGCCCCGCTACTTTTTGTAATTTTTGTAGAGATGGGGGTCTCACTATGTTGCCCAGGCTGGTCTTGACCTCCTGAGCTCAAACGATCCACCCACCTCGGCCTTTCAAACTGCTGAGATTATAGGTGTGAGCCACTGCACCCAGCCTGGTCTAGATTAATGAAAAGCTTCCTAACTGGTCTCCCTCCATCTATTCTTGTCCTCCCTTCAATGCATTCTCCAAACTGCAGCATTCCTGGGGTGTGCATCTGATGGTATCGGTTCCCTGCTCAATACCTTTCACTAGCCCTTACTGATCCTATGCTCTGAGTGACTGAGCCTTTGCTAAGTTCTCTAACTTCTCTCTACCCGACACCCTGCTTCCAAGACAGAACTTCTTTTTTATTTTTGTTGTTTTTTGTTTTTCTTTTTTTGAGACAGGGTCACTCTGTCAGATTAGAGTGCAGTGGCACAATCTCAGCTCACTGCAACCTCCGACTCCCAGATTCAAGTGATTCTTGTGCCTCAGCCTCCTGAGTAGCTGGGACTACAGGCGCATGTCACCATGCCTGGCTAATTTTTATATTTTAGTAGAGACGGGGTTCCACCACGTTGCCTAGGCTGGTCTTGAACTCCTGGCCTTAAGTGATCCACCTATCTCAGCCTCCCAAAGTGCTGGGATTACAGGCCTGAGCCACCGTGCCCAGCCAGAACTTCTTATTCCTTGACCTCACCACAATCCCTCACCTCCTAGTATTGGTATACATAGTTTTCTATATATGGAACACTCTTATCTCCTTCATCACCCGGCTTACTCCTCTCATCTTCAGGGCCCCATTTATAGCTCACCTCCCACTTCCATCCTCAGGGCTGGGTAATTTGCCCTTCCTGTGAACTCCTGTTGCTCCTTATATGCAGCTGTCATAACACTTTGCATCAGTCAAAGAGTACAAGAGGTAAAAGGACAAGAGATTTCTGTCTTCTTAAGGAAATGGGAAGCCCGAAAACCGAGGTAATCACTGTAGACTAATTTGGCTGTAAAATATGGAAGACAGGATGATCTTGTTGAATATTTTTATAACGGGAGAGATCTGAAAATATCTGAAAACAAAAGAGACAACTTTTTGGCAGGAAGAGTTTGGAATAAACAGAGGAAGAAGAATGAGGAGAACAAGAAAAGAAAGATTGAGAACCAGACTATAGAGATTGGGACTCTTTCTTTGGTACTACAAGGAGGATTGGTATGGAGGGATGAAGCAAGAGGTTTTATAAACCAAAACATGCCAACGCTCTGCATGTAATATGAGTTTGGGGTTTGCGTATTTGGATAGGGGTTTTGGACCCTCAAGGAGAGGTTTATATGTCTTTTAAGAATACCTAATACTGCGTTATCAGTTTGGCAGTACATATGAATAGAACCCTTGACAATGAACTAATGAACCCCACCAAGAAGGAAAATAAAAGAGTATGTATTTGAAGAAATTATATCCCCAAACCTCTACTTATCAGATTACTACAGTTAGCCTAAACAAACAGTAGATTAATGTGCATAATTTCCATAACTTCCTCACTTTATGATCGTCAGAGAAATGATGGCTTAGTGTTGACCCTTTGTACAAAGATAATTATTCTTACCTGAATAAAGATAATTACATTTCTAAAACTGGTAGGCAGATGGCTCTCAAAAGGGACATTAATGAAAGAAAAAAAAAAAGCAGACAAAAATTTAGAAAATGTCTTATTTTAATAAGATTCTAAATGCTATGGATGATTTTAACTTAGTTGAGAAAATTTTACTGAAAGCATCTCATCCTAAAATGTGAGTGAAAGACAAATTAATGATAAATTTAAGATACCTTCATTCTTATCAGTGGGAAACTGACCTAAAATGAGATCAAAGCAAATTAAACATTTTTATTTGTTATGAAAATCTGTTGAAATGAAGCCAATGATGTCACAAAGAGATACAAACAAAAAGTCTCTAAAACTTAGGGAAAAAAATCAAGGGGGAGCCAGGCGCAGTGGCTCACGCCTGTAATCCCAACACTTTGGGAGGCCGAGGTGGGTCAATCACTTGAGGTCAGGATTTCGAGACCAGCCTGGCCAACATGGCGAAACCCCATCTCTACTAAAAATACAAAAATCAGCTGAGCATGGCGGCAGGCGCCTGTAATCCCAGCTACTCAGGAGGCTGAGGCAAGAGACTCACTTGAACCCAGGAGGCGGAGGTTGCAATGAGCTGAGATTGCGCCACTGCACTCCAGTCTGATGACAGAGCAAGAATCTGTCTCAAAAACAAACAAAACAACAACAACAACAACAACAAAATCAAGGGACAAAGTGTAAGTTTCTAGCATTGTTGGGACAAATATGAACCCTGTAATTGAGGAACATGAACATTCTGTCCCATAGGAAACAAGCAAAAAAAAAAAAAGCTCACTATGTCTCACATGAAATAAAATTTCTCAGCAACCAAACTATTTGAGAACAATGTTAAGAAGTGTTGTTCACTGTCTCAAAGATTCTTAATTCTTGCATAATACAAATCTCCCAGTGGGTAAAATAATCTAGATTCCACTGTAAATTTTAAAACCGCCTTTCAAAACTGCATCAGTACTGTATTGATTTAGATAGCATTAGTCCCCTGGTCTGGCCCCCTCTGAGCAAGCTGGATATTCAAATTATAGGCATTCAATCTGAAAACAGATGCCTGCACTGTAGCCCAGCGTGAAGTCTGATCTAAAGCACCTATGTTAATATTTAATAGCTCCATATACATGTCACAGCAAACCTGCATGCAGAATGATATAACCAAGTATTATTTTTTTTTTGCCATAAATGTATCCAAGGTTCAAACTTAAAGAACCAATCACATTGTCTCCAATATAATATAAGTATAGGCCAGGTCTCAACCTTAGTTGAGGCTACTCACATTTGGGCTAAATAATTCTTGGTTTCAATGCACAGGGCTTTCCTATGAATTGTAAAGTGTTCAGCAGCTTCCCTGGCCTCTACGCATTAGATAGATGACAGTGGAATGCCTGAATTGTGGCAACAAACAATGTCTCCAGACATGCCAAAATGTACCCTGTGGAACAAAAGTAACCCCTAATTGAGAACCACCGATCTAAGTTAAAAGTTGAGGCTCCAGAATCAGGCTTCCTGGGTTTAAATCCTCACTCCACCTCTTACCAGTTGTTACTTTACGCTTACAAGTAAGTTACCTAACTTGCCTGTACATCAGTTTCCCCATCTGTACAATGTAGATTTTAATAGCACCTACCTCAGATGTATCTTGTGAAGATTAAACAAGTTGATATGTAAAGCCCTTAAATCAGTCCATGGTATATAGTGATTAACACATTCGAATTCTTACTATAATTATTATTTGATTTATATAACCATTCACTACTTGCAAAACTATTTCATAAACATATTATCTTATTTGATCCTTAGAGCCACTTTTTGTGTTGGCGTATGAGAGAAGGTTGAGGTTGTTATGTGTTCTGAAGGTCTATGTTGGGTAATGTATGCTTTTTAAAAAATATATCTATTTTCCAGTTAAGGAAAATGTAGCACGGAGAAAATAAACAGGATTGCTGGAAATCACACACACGTAACACACAATTTACATTTTACCTATTTTTTAATGTACAGATCAGTAGCATCAGGCACATTCACATTGTTGTACAACCACTACCACCATGTTCCTGTGGAGCTTTTCTCATCGCAACTGAAACTCCATACACATTAAACAATAACTCCCCATTCCTTTTCTCCTCATCCCCTAGTAATCACCTTACTGCTTTCTGTCTCTCTCTGTGCATTTGACTACTCTAAGTACCTCATATACATGGAGTCATACAATATTTATACTTCCGCATCTGGCTTATTTCACTTAGCATAATGTCTTTAAGGTTCATCTATCTAGTAATATGTGTCAGAATTTCCTTCCTTTCTAAGGCTGAGTAATATTCCATTGTATGTATATATCATATTTTATCTGTTTATCTGTTGATGAATACTAGGGTTGTTCCCACTTCTTGGCTATTGGAAGTTGCTATAGGCTGCATGTGTTCCTTCAAAATTCATATTATGAAATCCTACCCCCCAGTGTGATGGTTTTAGGAAGTGAGACCTTTGGGAGGTCATGAGAGTTCTGCCATGGGAATAATTGCCCTTAGACAAGAGAACATGGAGGGTTTCCTTCCTCCTTCTGCCACTTGAGGTGACAGTGAAATGACAGCCATCTATAAACCAGGAAGCCAGCTCTTACCAGACAAAGAATATACCAGTGCCTTGATCTTGGACTTCTTGTGAGAAATAAGTTTTTGTAATTTATAAACCAGCTAGTCAATGGTAATTTGTTACAGCAACAGACAAAGACAGAAGCCACCCCACTTTAAAGTTGAGATTTCCGATTCCTGGTCTAATGCTCTTTCCAGTATTACCACAAAAGGCACTGATGGTTCTATACCCTAAAGTGTCCCCCAAACTCAAGAGATTTTCAGGGAAATGGTCATCGTATGTAAAATAATTAGCCAATTGAAATATTGATGCTCAGCTTTTGTGAATAAATGAATCATATAGCTAAGCTGGGTTCATTCAGACTTTATTTAAGTTTCTTTAAGCTTATCTCTACATTCTCCTTTTCCCTATTTAAAAAGGAAACAGTTTCCAGAAAGATAACAACAGATCATTAGCTGATGCAGTATCTCCAGAATTATTTTTCTTTTTTTTTTTTTTTTTTTTTAGACCAGACCTTGTTCTGTTGCCTAGGCTGGAGTGCAGTGGTGCAAGTGGTGCAATCACAGCTCACTGCACCACAAACTCCTAGACTCAAGCAATCCTCCTGCCTCTGGGACTACAGACACATGCCACCACATCCAGTTCATTTTTTTCTAAAGTGTTTTTTTGATTTTTTGTTGTTTTTTTTTTTGAGACAGGGTCTTAGTATGTTGCCCAGGCTGGTCTCGAACTCCCGGGCTCAAGCAATCCTCTGCCTCAGCCTCCCAAAGTGCTGGGATTACAGATGTGAGCCACTGCACCTGGCCCCTAGAATTGTTTTTAGAGGTGAAACTTCAAGGTGAAATATAGTACATAACTGCTTTTCAGATAAACAAGTCCAGAGAGCACATTCTCTTGGGTTCTCTTGATGTGAGCTAAGCTACTGCTAGCACTTGGCATCACTTCAAAAACCTGAGGTGTTTCCAACACCTTAGGACACGTGAACAAGGCCTGCTTCCAAAGCTGGCTTCTATCTGGTAGTCCCATTAACACCGGGGCACACCTCTTCCCTGGAGCTCTGTGTACAGAGTACCTCCTCCCTAGGACTATACAAGGACTGAACCAGAAGGAAGAGGACAGGGCAGAGCCATGAACATCATCCTGGAAATCCTTCTGCTTCTGATCACCATCATCTACTCCTACTTGGAGTCGTTGGTAAAGTTTTTCATTCCTCGGAGGAGAAAATCTGTGGCTGGGGAGATTGTTTTCATTACTGGAGCTGGGCACGGAATAGGCAGGCAGACTGCCTATGAATTTGCAAAACGACAGAGCATACTGGTTCTGTGGGATATTAATAAGGTAATGTATACATCTGCCAACCTTTTAAAGTCACAGAGTAAGATAAGCATTTTAAGAATTCTTTGAATTACCATCTACTTATCTTTGTAATTTTGTTTTTCAAAGTTTGATAAATTCCCTGGTGCCTTAGTCTGTACATGCATCAGGTTAGTTAGATGAAGAGAATGTAATTGAGAACTAAGCAGCGATTTTTATGACATGGTGTGCAGGTTGATAGCAAAGACTCAAGAGCCAGGCTCCTTCCCAGCTGCTAAATGAGGCAAGTCATGTATTATCTCTCAGCCTGTTTTCTTGGTTCTGAAGTGGGGATAATAACTTAGGAGATGGGCAAGAACGAGATCTGAAAATTATAGCTAATAGGCTGAATCTGGCCAGTGGGCAGCCTGTTGAACTAAGAATGAGTTTTACATTTTGAAAGGTCACCAAACAAAAGTCAAACAAAGAAGAACATGCAACAGAAACCTTTAGTGCCTCCCCTCATACACATACAACACAATCCTAAAATATTTACTATCTGACCATTTACAGAAAATGTTTGCCAGTCCCTAGGCAAAAGGATTAAATAAGTAATATTTTCAGTACTTAGCACACGGTAAACAATACCTGGCACATGATAAACAATAACTGTGTTAAATAAAATATGTGTGCAGTGAGTCAGGCTTTCCCTTGGACATCAGCAGTTTTCCTATGTTCTTATTTGTAAACACCTACATGAACAACCCCAGATAAAACTGAAGTAACTGAAATCTTGTATCTTTTACTGTAAACTTGTAAATTCTGGTAAGGCCATGAAAATATACACAGAAAAGTATTTACAGGATGTTAGGATTGGAAAAATTGTGAAGTACTTCTTGAGAATCACGTTTTCCACAAATTACAGTGAGGTTTTAATTACCATTATATTATTTCTTTCTCATGTTCTTTGCTGTCATGTTCAGTTGAAACCTAAAATGTCTCTTAAACTTAGAGAATTAATTCTTTTTTGTTTTTTTCTGAATAGTGAAGAATGCTATTCAAAAAAGCTAGTACATTTTTATTTAACAGATATGAGCATTTATATAATAGATGAGTTGATGTATATAAAAATGATTTGCCATCTGTTTGGTCTTTGAAGAAATTTGAATGAACTTTCTGGAAGATACCAAGAATTTGCAAATCGAGAAAATTGCTGCCTGCTGTTCTTAGGCATTTGTCCAAAAACCTAAATAAGGATAAGTCTATGAAAAGGGCTTGATGAAATCTAACCTTCAAATCTCTTTCCAGATGTGTATTTTTGGGGAAAGGACCATACTTATTAAGGTTTTTTTTAATTTTAAAATTTCCAGAGACAAGAGAAAAGTGAATTAGAAGGAAGTCGTATTAAAAATGACTTAAGGGCGGGTGCAGTGGGTTACACCCGTAATCCCAGCACTTTGGGAGGCCGAGGTGGGCAGATTACTGGAGCCCAGGAGTTCGAGACCAGCCTGGGCAACACAGCAAAACCTCCACCTCTACAAAAAATACAAATATTAGCTGGGTTTGGTGATGCGCACCCATAGTCCCAGCTACTCAGGGGGCTGAGGTGGGAGGATCGTTTCAGTTCAGGAAGCCAAGGTTGCAATGAGCTATGATGACATCATTGTACTCCAACCTGGGCGATAGAGCCAGGTACTATCTGAAAAAAAAAAAAAAAAAAAAAAAAGACTTAAGAATGGGTAACCCAACATCAAAAATTCTCTTTGAATCATTAAATTTTATGGTTAAACATTTAAGCTACTGAATGATTCACTCTAAGGCTGTAATGTAACTCAGATCTCCTTTAGGCGAGGAAGACGCTATCTGAGTTTTCACCATAACTGGCTCCTTTTGCCCTATGAGATGAGAGACACAGTAGCAGTTTGGCCCTTACGCAATCTAAACTGTTGCTTTGGGAATACAGTTCAAAAAACACACTGGAATTTAAGCTAAAGCAAGTGTTTTGCTAACAAAAAGACAAGGCATTACATTTTGCAATTTTGCAATTATCTAGCTCAGTTACAAAACTGAATAATTAATTCTTCAATCAAAACATCTGATGAATGCTCTGGTTACTAATGCTCTCTACTGACCTAGAAACAGATGAGGGAGTATGGTGTGGTTTGTGCAATCTGGCAGTGAGCAAGCTACCATCTAAGTCAGTGAAAGACTCTCCTATCCTTTTTTTAATCTTCTGCAATCCCACAAAAGGCTAATTGAGGGGATACTGACTTTGCGACTGGGTCCTAACATCCATGTTTGGGGAGTTCAGACTGCTGCTCCAGGGTTTAGCTTACAGTCGTGAAATACAAAGGACCCAGAGACCACTCGTTAGAGGATTGCCCTAAATAGTAGCAACACCACTGTCATCCAAATACACAAAGAATAGGGCTTCCTTGCCTGTTCGTCACAGAGAAGAGTTTACCGATTGTGAGATGGAAAAGTATAATTTTTAAAACCTTATAATCTTTTCTATAAAAGTCACCTGATGTCAAAACTTGAAAAGAATTCTAATTTTCCAGAAATGTGAGTCAAGGAACATTAGGGCAATTTTATCTTAAGAAAGAGACCTTTGAATTTAGGCTGAAAGTAAATTGCTCTGTCTCCATGTCCTATAGTTATGGGCAAGGTTGGTACATAAATGAGAAATCGATCCAGTGGCCTTGCTCATCTCACTCCCAAACACCTGAAGAATGTAATATTATATCTCCTAGAGTAGCAGCATGGTCTCCCTATGAAAGTCCTTCTATAAGAGCCTTCTTTCCCCTTCCCTCCTAGGACGATGAGCCAGAATCATTGAGAAAAGTATGATGGGCAGAGGCATATAGTTTACCGTTACCACTAGTTTAGAATTGCTACTTAGCACTTTATTGCTTATTACATAGTTGATGCTCAACAAATGTATGATAAATTAATGGCTGAGTTTTTCTTTCTTCTCCAAATTCATCTTCCATGGCACCATGAAGAGCAATGTTTTTCAAGAATGCTCTTTAAGGTTTGAAAGCAGCCTGCTTTAGAGAAACTGCCTACTGTACAGCCTCCAACCAAGAGGAATAACTGGAAAAAGCATGAAGGGATTTTGTTTTGTTTTGTTTGCTTTGGTTTTAATATGAGCATTCCCTGGCAGAAAAGCCGGGGGTAATCTCGTTGCAACTAGGCAATCACTCTCAAGAAATTTTCTAAAAAATAAGGAGGCCAATTTTTATTTTATTTTATTTTATTTTATTTTATTTTATTTTGAGACGAATTCCCACTCTGTCACCCAGATTGGAGTGCAATGGAATGATTTCAGCTCACTGCAACCTCCGCCTCCCGGGTTCAAGTGATTCTCCTGTCTAAACTTCCCGAGTAGCTGGGATTACAGGCCCCCCACCACCATGCACGGTTAATTTTTTGTATTTTTAGTAGACATGGGGTTTCACCATGCTGGCCAGGCTGGTCTCAAACTCCTGACCTCAAGTGATCCACCCTCCTCGGCCTCCCAAAGTGCTGGGATTACAGGCGTGAGCCACTGCACCCGACCCAGGAGGCCAATTTTTAAAAGATTAACTATCTTCATGTCCAAAATGAATGTTAATTGTTCATTTTGGGCATGAATGTCAATTTTTTTTTTTTTTTTTTTTTTTTTTGGAGACAGAGTCTCACGTTGTTGCCTAGGCTGGAGTGCAGTTTGCCTAGGCTGGAGTCCAGTAGCACTGTCTCCACTCACTGCAACTTCTTCCTCCCAGGCTCAAGCAATTCTCCTGCCTCAGCCTTCCAAGTAGCTGGGATTACAGGCCCACACCATCAGGCCTGGCTAATTTTGCATCAGGCCTGGCTAATTTTCAATAGAGACGGGGTTTCACCATGTTGGCCAGGCTGGTCTTGAACTCCTAACCTCGTGATCCGCCCTCCTCGGCCAATCAGAGTGCTGGGATTACAGGCGTGAGCCACCGCGCCAAGCCGAATGTTAATTCTTTTAAAAATTTTTCTTCTCCAATGTCTTCTCCACTTTTTTTTCGGAATTTGTTTCTTCCAATTACAGCGTGGTGTGGAGGAAACTGCAGCTGAGTGCCGAAAACTAGGCGTCACTGCGCATGCGTATGTGGTAGACTGCAGCAACAGAGAAGAAATCTATCGCTCTCTAAATCAGGTGAGACTTCAGGTTCACAAATTTCTTCAGATGATTTTGTTTCCTACGACGCTGACATGGAAAATGAGAAAGTTCTTTATGACTGCCTGATTTAAATGAATTTTAGCTGCTAACTGAAGTAGTTATGTGACCAAGGAAGGATATATACTTTTTTTCTTGTATGTAATCCACTCAGCTCTGCCCATTATTATTATTGATATTATTAATCAATTTCATTCTGATCAGAAGTGTGAGCAGTGACACAGAGTGACTGACAAAAGATTTATCATAAGGGAATATGGATCACTTCCTAGTTTTGTTTTAGTCCTATTAACTTTGCAGTAATTCTGCCTTCTCTTTACTTATTTCCCTTGTGAGATTTTATTTTGCTGTTAATGTAGTCTTCTATAGAAAATGTAATATTAATAATTATTATCACAATTATTTTAAAAGAGTAAATATCAAATAATCACAATGAACTAAGCACTCCAACAAACTTTACATTTTTTAATCAAATCCCTACAATAACCCTGTAAACTTCATTTTTCAAATGAGCAAATTATGACTCACAGAGGTTAAATCAGACTAAGGTCATGTAGTTAGTAGGTTATGAAACCAGGATTACCCAACCAGCACTTTAGACCAGGTGCGGTGGTTCACACATGTAATCCCAGCACTTTGTGAGGCCAGCGTGGAAGGATCACATGAGACCAAGAGCTCGAGACCAGCCTGGGCAATGTAGTGAAACTCTATCTCAAAAAAAAAAAAAAAAAAAAATTAAAGAAAACCACTTTTTTAAAAAATGAGCACTTTAAAAATATTTGATCAGAACTTATATAGTAATTTATCAACATAAATGTTAATTTCACTTTACTGAGAAACTTGCAAAACATGATGTGCTGGGTATTGAAATTTAGATGTTAAAAGAACAGTTTATCCCACCTTTATGACAGTGCTCCGCTGGCCTCCACTATTTGAGCTCAACAGTCCATCTTGCCTGAACTCTGAGAGACCTCATACAGTAGAAGAAAGACTCTAATCTCTGCACTATGTTGGTCCCAAAACTTTGAGTTTGTATAACACACCCAATGAATGTATTCTTTCCATTTCAAAAGGTGAAGAAAGAAGTAGGTGATGTGACAATCGTGGTGAATAATGCTGGGACAGTATATCCAGCCGATCTTCGCAGCACCAAGGATGAAGAGATTACCAAGACATTTGAGGTCAACATCCTAGGACATTTTTGGGTGAGTGTGAGTCAGAAACATTTCTGATTTGTGCACCTTCTCTTAAGATACATGACACTTACAACGGACAGGATACTTCTGGACCGGAAGGATACTTCTGGACAGGAAACTGGCCAGATCTTTGCCTGAATCAAGAATCATCAAATTTGTTTGGGTAGAAGAGCCACAGAGTCTCTGACACAAGGACACAGAATTCAAGTGGACACAACATGCCAGAATGTAAGCTACTTGGTCTGTCTTGTCCACCAGTATCTGACACAAAGCTTGGCATGTACCAAGAATTCAACAAATGTTTGTGGAGGTTTGTTAAGGGTTGTCAGTGTACATCTTTTCAATGCTCTCAGTTGTGACCTCATTTTTTCCCCTCCACACCATGATTTTGTAATGTGTCCTCATTTTGTGGAATTTTAGAATGGGAAGGACATCAGAAGTAATTACGTGGATGTATATAGGGTCGAGGACACTTTTGGATGAGACTCTGAGGCAAGTTCTAGATCCATGGGACACTAGAACTGAGAAATCAGCTACACAGACCTCATATAATTGGTTAGTTTTGTGGAAGATGGAAATATCAACTTCAGCTGCCTTTGTATAGAAATTTTTATGATTAATCTTCCAGTGCCTCAATATTAGTGTAGAATCTAGGGCAAATCTGGATTCTGGAAGAAAGAAGAAGAAAAAAGAGATGTGTCCCCCTTACCTTTACCAGCTCCTCACATATGTGAATTGACTCCCATGCCCACCAAACTACATGGAGACCTCATGTATGAGTTACCTATAGCTGCATAACAAATTATACAAAACTTAGTGGTTTAAAGCAACAATATATGTTCATCCTCTCACAGTTTCTGTGGGTTGGGAATTTGGGCGTAGCTTGGGTTGGGAGTTCTAGTTCTATGAATTTGCATAGGATTTACTACATTCTTATAAAATTTTATCGATGTTTCTCACAAAAGAGGTATTTGGAAAAAAAGAAAGACTTGTTTCCTGTAACATCAACATATAATATACAATATTACAAATAGGGAGATAGTGAATTCAATCACGATGCATAAGTGTGGTGTAGAACACTCAGCTTACACTACTCAACTGCCTTAATACAGTTACACAAGATTTCACTCTTTCAATTAGAATGATAAAGCCCCAAACCAAAAAATTACATGACACTAAATTATCATAAGGAATTATTTTACTTCTGAAAACTCTGAATTTTTCCCTTAATATTGTTTAGATGACATATCCAAAAAAGGATCTATTTGATTCCTTCTGAAGGGAAGGATGGGGAATACTGAGATTAGTGTTGGCATGGGGTATACCATACCAATAAATTTGTATCTTTATTTCTATCATTTGTATAGAATTAATCATGGAATGCTTGGAAGTATTTTATTTCAGTTTATAAGTTCTCTCAAATGCCTTTCTATCTTAACAAAAATAAAACTATCTAATTTGGAAACCTAACACCTATGTCATTGTTTTTCTTCTTTCTACAATGATCCTTAAGATCACAAAAGCACTTCTTCCATCGATGATAGAGAGAAATCATGGCCACATCATCACGGTGGCTTCAGTGTGTGGCCATGAAGTGATTCCTTACCTCATACCATATTGGTAAGTATCACATGCCAGCCATGTTATATATTTTTACACTTTGAAGGGAGCATTACACTTCACATTGTTACCGGTGGAGGGTGTCCTGGTTCTTGGCATCTTGAACAAAGAATTGGACAAAACACACCAACATGCCAGGAAAGAACGAAGCAACAAAAGCAGAGATCTACTGAAAATGAAAGTATGCTTCACAGGGTGGGAGTGGGCCCAAGCACAGGGGCTCAAGAGCCCATTACAGAATTTTCTGGGGTTTAAATACCCTCTAGAGGTTTCCACTGGTTACTCGGTGTACACCCTATGTAAATGAAGAGGATGAATTAAATTTACAAAGTCGTTTACTCAGTGTACACCCCATGTAAATGGAGAGGATATTTCCTGTCATAGCTGAAGTGTTTCCATTTGATTTAGTTCTAGGAAGTCAGCATGAATCGGCCTTATGTTCCCTGCCTCCAGACCCTATTCTCCTGCCTCAAGATGGCAATGCTCGGAGCAGAGTGATTTGGGTTAACAGGATATAAATTTACAGTGGTTTAGAATGAATTTTTTAAATGACTTTTTCTAAAGCAATGAAACCGGGTTGTAATTATATTTAAAATACTTTTAGATTTCTGCAAATTCTTCTGTAGAACAATGAGAGAAAACAGTAATGCCAAGCATGTTTCCATTGTTTCCTCCACAGACTAAGAAGCAAAACCTACAGAAGCTAAAAAGAACACATGTCTATGTCATGGCCTTGGTGCCCAAAATAAGACAATCAGAGTGGTCCCTGGATCAAAACATTTTACAGTGTGCTTGTGCCATGAACATGTGTGTGTGTGTGAGAGAGAGAGAGAGAGAGAAAGAGAGAGAGAGAGAGAGAGAAACAACTCTACCTGACTAAAAGTTGCAGATACCACACTCCACGCACCACCAAAGACTTAAAGGGAAGGAGGTGGGAGGCCCTAAGGATATACTACTGTATTTGCCAAATATCCTTTCCTGTAAACTCTTCTCCAGATCCTCATAATAAAATCAAGAGGCCAAAGTGGCAACCATTATCAAGAGAAAAACCATCAACTCAGTTATTGAGAGAGAAAGGAGAAATGAGCAGCGTCCTACAGAAGTCTGTCAACACAGACATCAATTTTGTAGAATTACTAAATATGTTTTTCCTGATTCATATTTTTCAAAATAAAAGCAATAAAAACTGATTAGAAAACAGTTTGAAGATTCAACGGAAAAGCCTTACATGTAGGATGGAAAACTGAATATTAAGCCAATCAATAGAGTTATTTTTGTTCTTTTGCTATTGTTGTTTAAGAAATGAGATACGTTCACAATTCTGCTTAATTGTATAAGAAAATGAAAATGAATTGCCATTTATACTGTCAGAAAAATCACAAGTGACTGATTTTTGGCTTCTACTTGTTCTTTTTTTTTTTTTTTTTTTGAGACGGAGTCTTGCTCTGTCCCCCAAGCTGGAGTGCAGTGGCGTGATCTCGGCTCACTGCAAGCTCCACCTCCCGGGTTCATGCCATTCTCCTGCCTCAGCCTCCCGAGTAGCTGGGATTACAGGAGCCCGCCACCACGCCTGGCTAATTTATTTTTGTATTTTTAGCAGAGTCGGGGTTTCACCATGTTAGCCAGGATCTACTTGTTCTTAAGTCAAATGATACCGCCTTCTCACAGAAAACTGAGGATTGGTTTCACTCTCCCTTAGCTAACAATGCTTAATAATTCTCTTACAGTTCCAGCAAATTTGCTGCTGTTGGCTTTCACAGAGGTCTGACATCAGAACTTCAAGCTTTGGGAAAAACTGGTATCAAAACCTCATGTCTCTGCCCAGTTTTTGTGAATACTGGGTTCACCAAAAATCCAAGCACAAGGTAAGGTCAAAATCAAGTTAGAATGAGACTGTGGTATGATAAATTGATATGAAAACTAATGAGAAATGTTTAGGCAGGCCAACTAATAGAAACAAAATGAAACAGGAAGATTATTTTTTCTTATTAATATTATTATCTTGAAATTAAAGGAATAAAGGGGAAAAACATTAGGGACTAGCAGGAATGATCAGCTACCAATGAACTGGGATATTTATTTGTGTCCGGGAAAAAGCTTAACACACACTCAGGTGCCAAGAGTAAGTGGGAAGTGCGAATGGGGCAAGGGGGGCTGGAGAGGTGTGCTTAAGGGAATGGCGAGAGTCTCCTCTCCTGGACACCACACCCACAAAATCAATGATACCTAACATTCCCCCTTTCTATTAGCGGTTCATCCTCTTCAAACAGAGCATAGAAAGGTATAGGTACTTATGCCTCTTTTATGTCTTCCACAGCACTGGCCACAATGTTAACATAAGGCACCCAAACATTTTCCAAACTTGTCTCATCCTAAGAATTATTGCTTGTGCTTCCTTAAAAAATAAAGTTCATAGGCTAGTCCTTAGGAATTTCTAAGGAAATTCTGATCCAGTAGACTAGGATTAATTCCAAGAATTAGGAGTTTTGTTTTGTTTTGTCTTACAACCATACCAGATGAGAATAGAGGCAGGTTTGGAAAACTTTGATATGTTCAATATTATCAGAGGGCAAGCTTGTAGTCCCAGAGACCAGGGAAGCTAAGGCGAGAGGAAGGCAGGAGTTCGAGGCTGTAGTGCACTATGATTGCACCTGTGAATAGCCATTGCACTCCAACCTGGGCAACACAGTGAGACCTCTGTCTCTAAATACACACACACACACACACATGCACGCACACACGCACACAATCTCTATATACATTTGATCGCTGTTACCACCCTGTCTTTAAAATGCAAATGTTCCAAGGACCAGCAAATAAATTGAGTCTCTGGCTCCTTAGTCAAGGTGAATTTCTGCAAGAACCCTTGTCTCTGGTGAGAGAGGATTTGAGACCATGAGAGAGGAAAAATTAGTCCTGAAAAGAGAAGAAAAAAGCAGGAAGGTGTGGATAAGGCCTGAAAATTAAGCCATCTGCTTAACAAATTTTTCTAATCCTGGTATATATTCTGCTGCAGATTAACAAAATATACTAAGCTTAATGATTCAAAACCATTTTTTTACCGGAAGGGAACTAGTCCTAAACATATTCATTCAAATGAACTAAACAATTCTCTGTTGAGTGCCGCCTCATTTGAGGATACTGACTCTTACAGCCTGAGTTAGCTGTGTGGTCTCTGCAGCTGGAGTCTCTCCCTGCCACTGGAGTCCTTCAGGGTGTTAGACCATAGGTACTGTTGATTAAAAAAAAAAAATAAGTTTTTGTTTTTGTTTTTGTTTTGAGACAGAGTCTCGCTTTGTCACCCAGGCTGGAGTGCAGTGGCTCAATCTCGGCTCACCGCAACCTCTGCCTTCCGGGTTCAAGTGATTCTCCTTCCTCAGCCTCCTGAGTATTTGGGATTACAGGCACGCACCACCACACCTGGCTAATTTTTTTTTTTTTTTTTTTTTTTTTTGAGACGGAGTCTCGCTCTGTCGCCCAGGCTGGAGTGCAGTGACCGGATCTCGGCTCACTGCGAGCTCCGCCTCCCGGGTTTACGCCATTCTCCTGCCTCAGCCTCCCGAGTAGCTGGGACTACAGGCGCCCACCACCTCGCCCGGCTAGTTTTTGATAGTTTTAGTAGAGACGGGGTTTCACCGTGTTCGCCAGGATGGTCTCGATCTCCTGACCTCGTGATCCGCCTGTCTTGGCCTCCCAAAGTGCTGGGATTACAGGCTTGAGCCACCGCACCCGGCAATTTTTGTATTTTTAGTAGAGACAGAGTTTCGCCATGTTGGCCAGGCTGGTCTCGAACTCCTGACCTCAGGTGATCTGCCTGCCTCGGCCTCCTAAAATGCTGGGATTACAGGCGTGAGCCACCACAACCGGCCAAAAAAATAAGTTTTTAAAGAATTAAAGGTGTTGATTTTCTTTAGAAGCCTTACTGAAGACTACAGAAGGAGGCCTGTAGCCTGAGAGCAGCCTTTTAGAGAGGTTCAGCTGGACTGCTCTGGTACTGGGGGCCATGTGCTCCATCCTGTATTGTCTTCAAAGCATCTTTCCAGAGAGCTGCACATTGTCACAGAGTCAGGGACTTTGTGAAATTATGCTGACAAGCAGAAGTGAGCAAACATGGCTTCTTACATTTGCTCTGTTGCCTCACAGTACTTAATAAGTATGTGATATGTAAGTAAATACTGTAGTACTGTTGCAACTCCTGACTGTTTTCTTAGACAAGAAATTGGGCCCAATTTTTAGGAATTGGTAGGAATTGGACCTTCTTGGTAGGCTTTCAGGCTTAGCGTACCATGAGCTTTCCTAAGGGTATCCTGCCACTCTTGGGGAAGGCATAATAGATGAGAAGAGTAAAGATAGTGGAACTCTGGGTATAGGGTTCCCGGGGGCTAACTTAGGGGCAGACACAGGCAATGCTAAAGATTTGGGATTGGTTTTATAGAGGTTGCTGGATTGTGAATTTCCTTAGTCAGGTCTAAGGCATTGATATGTAATGTCACACTTGGCTCCGAGGCTGGGTTGTTGGATCCATATAGATGATATCAGGGAGGGAAAGGGCAGAACATAGTAATTTAGAAATGTATTGACTTGTATTACTCTGTTGGCTTTGCTATTCAATGCAGTGGAGAAGTGAATCACATACTAATCTGCAGTAAACCACAGATCATCCCAGGGAATGGAGTTTTAACATTCACTGGTTCCCTAACTCCTTGCCCAGCCTTTACATTCACTGGCTGTTGAGTCCACGCCTAGACATCTTAATTTGAATACAACATTTTAAATCCATTTATGTTTTAATTTTCTGTCATCATCTTGCACTAACAGGCAATTCTTCACTAAGCCTATGTTTATGAATATTTCTCAAGAATACATGTACACGGCCTTCAGTATAAGGAAGGTCATACCTCCAGTTGTCATATTCCTTGGGCGCCTCTTAAATTCTCATTAAACTGCAGGATAGGCAAGTCAGAGGTGAATCTCAAATATGAAATTCTTACCAGAAAGGGGTCCCAATCCAGACCCCAAGAGAGGGTTCTTAGATTTCTCCTAAGAAGCAATTTGGGGCAAGGCCACAGTGCAAAGCAAAAGCAAGCTTATTAGGAAAGTAAAGGAGTAGAGAATGGCTACTCCACGGAGGAGAATGGCTACTCCACGGAGAAGAATGGCTGGGGCTGCTCCACCGAGGATATTTAGTTACTTCTTGATTATATGCTAAACAAGGGGTGGATTATTCATGAGTTTTCCGGGAAAGGAGTGAGCAATTCCCAGAACTGAGATTTCCTCCCCTTTTCAGACCATATCGGGTAACTTCCTGCCATTGCCATGGTATTTGTAAACTGTCATAGGGCTGACAGAAGTGTCTCTTAGCATGCTAATTAATATATTATAGTTAGCTTATAATGAACAGTGAGGACAACCAGAGGTCACTTTCATCACCATCTTGGTTTTGGTGGGTTTTGGCCGGCTTCTTTACTGCACCCTATTTTATCAGCAAGATCTTTATGACCTGAATCTTGTGCCAACCTCCTATATCATCCTGTGACAAAGAATGCTTTAGCTTCCTGGGAATGAAGCCCAGGAGGTGTCAGCCTTCTTTTACCCAGGCCCTATTCAAGATGGAGTTGCTCTGATTTAAACGCCTCTGACAAAATGATGACCTCAAAACAATCCAGCTTTATGGAATACCTCCACAAGAAAGAAAGTATACTTAGCTATAGAATTTTCTCCTTGCATCCAACAGGCTTTGAGATGTCAGATCTTTCCTTCCTGTCCAATGATTAATCCTAGCTGTTCCTCTTTCTTGCGCGGCTCCTCTACTCCTTACCGTCTAATGCCTCTCCACCATTTTGATATTTTGACTAAGTGAGCTATGAAACACACCTACTGGATATGAAAGTATAAGTTTCTGATAACAAAACATCAACATGGGATGTGGAGGAAGTGGGTAGGGTGGCATTAATGTAGCAAATCCTGGAATATTTTAAATCTTCATTCTAAATTTAGTAAAAATATAGGATAATTTTCCTACCATCATTTACTTATGAAATTAAAATTTTAGAAAATAAAAATAAACTTTTCCTCTTTTTAATCACAGATTATGGCCTGTATTGGAGACAGATGAAGTTGTAAGAAGTCTGATAGATGGAATACTTACCAATAAGAAAATGATTTTTGTTCCATCATATATCAATATCTTTCTGATACTAAAGAAGTAAGTACAGCACAGAACACCTAAATACTGAAACACCAATAGAGCTTTTTTTTTTTTTTTTTTTTTGAGACAGAGTCTTACTCTGTCACCCTAACTGGATTGCAGTGGCACAATCTTGGTTCACTGCAACCTCCACCTCCTGGGTTCAAGCCATTCTCGTGCCTCAGATCCCTATGTAACTGGGACTACAGGTGTGTGCTACCACACCACACCCAGCTAATTTTTGTATTTTGTGATAGAGATGGGGTTTCCCCGTGCTGGCCAGGCTGGGCTCGAACTCCTGACCTCAAGTTATCCTCCTGTCATGGCCTCCCAAAGTGCTGGGATTACAGGCATGAGCCACCGTGCCTGGCCCAGTAGAGCTATTATTATGGAGAATCTTTCAGTTGTGAAAATTGGCATGGAAACTCTCCATCCTTGGGGAGAACAGTTTCCTCTTGGGGAGAAGTTTCCTCTGTTCTTTTCCTACCCAGTCTATAAAAAGAGAATGATTCATTTTCTCTACCAAATCTACCGTCTCTGCGCAAACTTTGCTGAAGACTATCCTAACTAAAGGAAACACAGTTTAAAAAGAATGCAATATAGTGAAGTAGTTAATAATAAAGACTCCATTTTTAAAAGCCTGTTAGAAGCTTGGTTGGGATTGCACTGAATCTATAGATCAATTGGGGGGAATTGACATATCAACAATATTGAGTTTTCGAATCCAAGAACATAATATCTATTTTTTAAATCTTCTTCAAAATCTTTAAATCTTTAAATTGTATTTTGTAATTTTTGATGTTTAAGTCTTACACATATTTTATCAGATTTATTCCAAAGTATTTCATGAGTTCTTTTTTTTTTTTTTTTTTTTTGAGACAGAGTTTCGCCCTTGTTGCCCAAGCTAGAGTGCAGTGGTGTGATCTTGGCTCACTGCAACTTAGGACGCCTGGCTTCAAGCAATTCTCCTGCCTCAGCCTCCCAAGTAGCTGGGCTTACAAGCACCTGTCCCCTCACCCAACTAATTTTTTGAATTTGTAGTAGAGATGGGGTTTCACCATGTTGGCCAGGCTGGTCTCGAACTCCTGACCTCATGTGATCCACCTGCCTCAGCCTCCTAAAGTGCTGGAATTACAGGCATGAGCCATCATGCCCAGCCCTATTTCACGGTTTTTGATGCTAATGCAAATGGAATTTTTTAAAAAATTTATATTTACCATTGTTTGTTGTCAGTATATATTGGATTTTTGTAATTTGATCTCATATTTTGCAATCTTGCTAAAATGCTAAACTTTTTGTTTGCTAAACTCAGTAAGTTTTTGTTTGTTTGTTTGTTTGTTTTGTTTTGTTTTGTTTTGTTTGGTAGATTCCTGAGCCTCTGATTTTCTTTTGGGAAAGCTTTTAATTACAAATTTAATTTCTTTAATAGCTACATGGCAATTCAATTTACTTATTAATTCTTGGTAATGTGTGTCTTTCAAGGAATTTGTCCATTTCATCTAAGTTGTAGAATTTCTTTGGCATAAATTTGTACATAACGTTCCCTTATTATCCTTTTAATGTCTTTAGAATGTCTTGTTTATTTATTTATTTATTATTTTTATTTATTTATTTATTTTTTGAGATGGAGTCTTGCTCTGTTGCCCAGGCTGGAGTGCAGTAGCAAGATCTCGGTCACTGCAATCTCTCCCTCCTGGATTCACGCCATCCTCCTGCCTCAGCCTCCCGAGTAGCTGGGACTACAGGCACCTGCCACCATGTCCAGCTAATTTTTATTTTTTTCAATTTTTTTAGTAGAGACGGGGTTTTACCCCATTAGCCGGGATGGTCTCCATCTCCTGCCCTTGTGATCTGCCTGCCTCAGCCTCCCAAAGTGCTGGAATTACAGGTGTGACCCACCGCACCCAGCCTATGTATTTATTTAGTAGAGACGGTCTCGCTTTGTTGCCCAAGCAACAAAGGTTTTGAATGCCTGGCCTCAAGCAATCCTCCTGCCTTGGCCTCCCAAAGTGCTGAGATTACAGGCATGAGCCACTGCACCTGGCCAAATGAATATGGTGATATCTTCTTTATAAGGATGCCATAAGAATAAAACAATATAATAGAAACAAAGCTCCTGTCACTGAAAAGGTATAGACTTCAAATGTTAAAATCTTAGAGAATAGAATTTATATGAAATAGCAACAGCAACAATTCCCAGAGGATATACTCTCTCAGCTTTCTTCTGAGGAGCAGTTTATAAACTGAAATTGTATCAGTGAGAAGATAACTATACTAACTTCATAAGCCCTTGGACCTTTTTGAAACAAATCCATATAAATTATGAACAAACTTGAAATAGAACAATTTGAAAACAGGGTACAAACTGCATTGGTGTATCAATTTCAGTATTTTGTTTAAGCTTAAATAGACTGACTTGAGATAACATAAGGAGAACCTTGACCCCCAAGCAACATCATCTCAAGAGTTGACTAGGCCGGGTGTGGTGTCTCATGCCTGTAATCCCAGCACTTTGGGAGGCCAAGGCAGGCAGATCACTTGAAGTCAGGAGTTCGAGACCAGCCTGACCAACATGGTGAAACCCCTGCTCTACTAAAAATACAAAAATTAGTAGGTATGGTGGTCTGTGCCTGTAATACCAGGCACTCTCAGGAGAATTGCTTGAATCCGGGAGGCAGAGGTTGAAGTGAGGCGAGATCGTGCCACTGCACTCCAGCCTGGGAGACAGAAGACTCTGTCTTGGAAAACTAAATTTAAAAAAAAAAAATGAAAAAAAAAAAAAAAGAGTTGACTAAATTAGTGTCTTGGTACTAAGCACTGTAGAAAGTGAGTTTCATGGAAGAGAGATTTTAAATGACCAAAGATGAACTGTGGTAAGCATATCTTAGGAGGCACTCCCTGGAGAGGGAATGTTCCCGAAAACATTTTCAGAGGGACAAACCATATGAAATTCAGTAAAACATAAATCATGAAGAAAACTGATTACTCTCTTTTTGACATGAAATGAGAAGTTTAATGCATGGTTACAATTACTAATGTATTCTGCTGCAAGACGTTAATAAAGTTACTTTTTTGCAGGCTAGAATGTCTTGATGCTGTAATCAGAACACACTTTTTTTCCTTTTCTTCCAGCTTCAAATGCAGATTCATAATTGGGCTGACTTATAATAATTGCAATGTTTTCTGCCTTGGGCTTGCAGCAGAAGCTTGACAAAACAGTGTTTGTTTAGGCAATAATTTATTTTTTATTTTTTACTTTTTTTGAGATAGAGTTTCATTCTTGTCGCCCAGCTGGAGTGCAATGGCATGATCTTGGCTCACTGCAACCTCCGTGTTTAGGCAATAATTTAGACTTTATCTTGCTTGTGATTATTATGGCAATTACTGTAGCCACAAGGCATAATTTTACTGTCTCATTTAAATTTTATGAATTTGAATTTTTTTACACTTTTCCTAATGAAGTCCACTATGAAGTTATGTCAAAAAAAAAAAAGAAAAAAAGAAAAGAAAGATGCACACATAAAAGAGAGGTGATTGCAAAGGAAGTAAAGAAGAACGAAGGAAAATTAAACACAAACCAGATAACTCTCAGTGTATTCTAAATGACCAAAAAAAGAACTCTATTGTCAAATATTTTAAACTGAAAATTTTTCAATTTTTTTTTCTTTTTTGTACAGGTTTCTTCCTGAACGCGCCTCAGCATTTTTAAATCGTATGCAGAATATTCAATTTGAAGCAGTGGTTGGCAACAAAATCAAAATGAAATGAATAAATAAGCTCCAGCCAGTGTTGTATGCATGATAATGATATGAATAGTTTAGAATCAATGCTGCAAAGCTTTATTTCACATTTTTTCAGTCCTGTTAATATGAAAAACATTGGTTTGGCACTAACAGCAGAGAAATGATCAAGATTAATTACCTGTCTTCCTGTTTCTCAAGAATATTAATGTAGTTTTTAATAGGTCTGTTTTTCCTTTCATGCCTCTTAAAAACTTCTGTGCTTACATAAGCATACTTAAAAGGGTTTCTTTAAGATATTTTATTTTTCCATTTAAAGGTGGACAAAAGCTACCTCCCTAAGAGTAAATACAAAGATAACTTATTTACACAGGGAAGGTTCAAAACTGTTCAAGTAGCATTCCAATCTGTAGCCACGCCACGGAATATCAACAAGAACACCGAATGAGTGCACAGCTAAGAGAACAAGCTTCAGCAGGCAGCTTTATCTCCACCTGGACAGACTTTAAGATTCAGCATTTAAAAGATTTCCCTAGCCTCTTCCTTTTTCATCAGCCTGAAATGGTGCAACTCTATTCTGGACTTTATTACTTGATTCTGTCTTCTGTATAACTCTTAAGTCCACCAAAAGTGGACCCTCTATATTTCCTCCCTTTTTATAATCTTATAAGATACATTATGAAAGGTGACCGACTGTATTTTAAATCTGAGAATTTTAAGTTCTAGTCCCATGATAACCTCTTTCTTTGTAGTTTATGCTTACATATATCCTTGGTCCCAGAGCTGTTTAGACAATTTTAGGCTCAAAAATTAAAGCTAACACAGGAAAAGGAACTGTACTGGCTCTTACATACCTAACAATGGATCCAAGAGAAGGAAGGGAAGAAAGAAAGGTTTTTTTGTTTTTTGTTGTTTTTTGTTTTTTGTTTGTTTGTTTGTTTTGAGATGGAGTCTCGCTCTGTCTCCCAGGCTGGAGTGCAATGGGACGATCTCAGCTCACTGCAAGCTCCGCCTCCCAGGTTCATGCCATTCTCCTGCCTCAGCCTCCCGAGTTGCTGAGACTACAGGCGCCCGCCACCTCGCCTGGCTAATTTTTTGTATTTTTCGTAGAGATGCGGTTTCACCATGTTAGCCAAGATGGTCTCGATCTCCTGACCTCGTGATCCACCCTCCTCGCCCTCCCAAAGTGCTAGGATTACAGGCATGAGCCACCAGCCCAGCCTTTTTTTTTTTTTAACAGAAAGAATAATCTGACTCCCACTACATCAAGACTAATCTTGTTCTGTGTGTTTTTCACATGTATTATAGAATGCTTTTGCATGGACTATCCTCTTGTTTTTATTGAAAACAAATGATTTTTTAAAAGTGACTAACAAAAACAATTGACTAAAAGTAAATATGTCATTATGCTTTAAAAAAGTAACCTCTTGTAGTTATAAAATAAAATGTTTGACTTCTAATCTCTGTCTCTGTGAGTGTCCTTCAAGAACCACGGATATGGATAGTAAATAGCTAGATCTGGCAGATATTAAATGAATCCGGGGTTTTCTCCACTCTGGTTTCTTTGACAGCAGGAGTGCCGGTTTATCAACTGAAACTTACTGAGTCCTTTCTATTGTGACATTGAGCATAGTGCTATTGTTTCAAATTTTTTTTCTTAGTCACTGGCAATAATTTTTTTCATAATATTCTTTTAATTTCTTGCCTTATAATCAAGAAATTTATGAGTAAAATGTATTATTTTTAAAGTATGGTTACAAAAATTCAAAAGAGAAACATGGAAAGTAAAAAATAGAAGCTTACCCCCAGCAATCCCATTTCCCAGAGGTCACGCCGTCAATGCACAATCTTCCAGTCTTTTTCTGATGCATATGCACGACAAATACATTATATTCTTATTGCATGGGTCACATCAGTAGGTTCATGCCATACATTATGTTCTGTAACCTGCTTTTTTAACTTACCAACTTATCACAAACAGCTCTTTGTTTAAGTGTAGAGAATTCAACTTTTTTTTTTTAATGAGTACACAGTACTAGAATAGTACTCTAACATTCCCTTTTGATAGGCACTTAGGATGTTTCCAATATTTCTTAGTTCATCTATTTATATATTAATTTAACAAATGCTTACTGAGTGCCCTCAAAGTTCTAGGCCCAGGGAAACATCTATGAATAAGGCAAACTCCTTGTCTTAACAGAGCTCACGTTCTAGTAGGTGGGACAAACAATAAGGGGACTGCAAATATGAGAGCGAGCATTTAAAGCCGTAGAGTCAGGGAAGAGCACTCTGAGAAAGAACATTTTGAGGAAGAACTATTACCATACACAGGCAACTAAAAAATATTTTATTATATACATATTGACAAAAATAAAAACTTCTTAAATCCCAGTGTTAAGTTCAAAGCAGAAAACTTATTTTAATTCCATTTTGGTTTTAATCTTTTATGAATGAAGTTCAGAGAAATGTGGGAGCAAAATATTCATCTCTCCTTGCCCGTTTTCTTGCATATTCTGAGTGTAGCTCTCCTCCTTAAAAGTTCCACCTGCATGCAGGCGTGGGGACTCATGCCTGTAATCCCAGCACTTTGGAAGGCCGAGGTGGGTGGATCACCTGAGGTCAGGGGTTTGAGACCAGCCTGGCCAACATGGCAAAACCCTGTCTCTATTAAATACACAAAAATTAGCTAGGCATGGCGGTGCATGCCTGTAATCCCAGCTACTCAGGAAGCTGAGGCAGGAGAATCGCTTGTACCTGGGAGGCGGAGGTTGCAATGAGTCGAGATCACTCTACTGCACTCCAACCTGGGCAACAGAGTAAGACTGCATCTCAAAAAATAAAATAAAATAAAATAAAATAAAATAAAATAAAATAAAATAACAGCCTGGGAGACAGAAGACTCTGTCTGGGAAAATAAATTTAAAAAAAAGGAAAAGAGTTGACTAAATTAGTGTGTCTTGGTACTACACTGTAGGAAAGTGAGCTTTCCATGGAACACACCTACTCTTGGGGGCCTAAAGTGCAAGTCATGACAATATTGAAAATTACTATATATGCTTATATAAAAGCGCTGCATATGACCAAGGGGATAGCAACATTATTCTGCCTGAGCTGGAGAATAGTATCCCAGTAAAAATAAACAATCAGCCTTGTAAAGTCTTCAGTGTATCCTTTCTTGAAGCTGCGTGGGGTTTGTAAATAGGCAACATGTATTGTTAATTTTCTTTCGGCATTTAATTCCTTTACAGAGAGAGACAACATTTTTATGAGAGTGCAGATGAATTACTTAGCATGAAGGTTTCTTTGTGAGGGTAAAGTGCCCACATGAGCTCTTCTTATCCTTTTTGTCCTCTCTTCAGCTAGATCTTCCCTGCCCGCCAGAGCCTATTCCCCCCATCTTTCACACCTGTCCACTTCCACTCCCCCAAAACAAGGGAAGTAAACTGCATTAGTCAACAATACCACAAAGAGCCTTCGGCTTGTTGACTTTCTTTGCAGAATATGTTATTTCGGCCCCCTTTTACATCTGCTACATACTCTCTTCCTTTTTTTTTTCAGATGAGTTCCCAGCTCTGTTGCCTGTGGCTGCGGTACTTGATCCTGGCCTACACAACCTCCACCTCTGGGTCTAAGATTCTCCTGCCTCAGCCTCCTGGAATAGCTGGGATTGGGTGGCATGAGCCACCATGCCTGGCTAATTTTTGTGGCTTTTAGTAGAGACAGGTTTCACCATGTTGGTTAAGCTGGTCTCGCAGCCCTGACCTCTCCCCTTATCTGCCCACCTGCTCCCAAAGTGTTGGGTTACAGGAGGGTTCCTGAGCCAATGGGCAGCCACTCTCTTCCTTTCATCTGCCTACTCATCTTTGGAGTGCATTCTGGACATCAAAGGAAGTCCTTTTGAAGCTTTCCTCCACCATCCAATCTATAGCTGGTAACCTCCTCTTCCAGTTATAGCTCCCACTTACGGGCTGATATTTTTCACACAATTGTTTTAAGATGACCATTTTTAGCCTCCTCAAAGCAAACAAATAAGTTCCTCAAAGACAAGAGCTGTTTTTTAAGTAATTTAGTTCACCTTATTATAGAAAGGAAATAGATACTCAGTAAAATAGTAAAGGAGAGGTGCCATGGAAGACCCGTGGTGTCTCTGGTGAGATTTTAGCATCAAGATTAATCAGCAATTTCAGCAATGAGCTCAGACCTCCATTTTAGATCTTTACTCATATCAGATAAGAGAGTGAGAAGAGTGGTATGTATCAGTGCTTTATTTATATTTGCATGCAATTTGAACTATGAATATTACAAAGGTGCACACACATAGTTCAGACAGATTAGGATTTTAAATGACCAAAGATGAACTGGGTGGTGTTTATCTTAGGAGGGTACTCCCTGGGAGAGGGAATGTTCCCTAAAAACATTTTCAGAGGGACGCCACAAACCACATGAAATTCAGTAAACATAAATCATGCAAGAAAACTGATTACTTTTGATATGAATGAGAAGTTTAATGCATGTGGTTAAGTAATTACTAATGTATTCTGCTGTGACGCACAGTGTTACTTTTTTGCAGGCTAGAATGTCTTGATGCTGTAATCAGAACATACTTTTCTTTCCTTTCCAGCTTCCAAATGCAGATCATAATTGGGCTGACTTCTAATACCTGGCAGGTAATGTTTTTCTGCCTCCTGGCCTTGCAGCATAGGTAGCTTGACAAAACAGTGTTTGTTTAGGCAATAATTTATTTTTTATTTTTACTTTTTTGAGATAGAGTTTCAATTCCTTATCACCCGGCTGGAGTGCATGGCATGATCTTGGCTCACTGCAACCTCCGTGACAAAGGCAATAATAATTTAGACTTCTATCTTGCTTGTAGATTATTATGGCAATTAACAGCCACAAGGCATAATTTTACTGTCTCATTTAAATTTTATGAATTTGAATTTTTTTACACTTTTCCTAATGAAGTCCACTATGAAGTTATGTCAAAAAAAAAAAAAAAAAAGAAAAAAGAAAAGAAAGATGCACACATAAAAGAGTAGAGGTGTGATTGCAAAGGAAGTAAAGAAGAACAAAGTAGGAAAAATTAAAACACAAACCAGAGATAACTCTCAGTGTGTATTCTTAAATGACCAAAAAGAACTCTATTGTCAAATATTTTAAACTGAAAATTTTTCAATTTTTTTTTCTTTTTTGTACAGGTTTCTTCCTGAATCTGCGCCTCAGCATTTTAAATCGTATGAATATTCTAATTTGAAGGGTGGTTGGCAAATAATCAAAAATGAAATGAATAAATAACAAGCTCCAGCCAGTGTTGTAATGATAAGATATGTAGAATATTGAAGCTTATAGAATCAATGCTGCAAAAGCTTTATTTCACATTTTTTCAGTCCTGTTAATAAGGAAAACATTGGTTTGGCACTAACAGCAGAGAAATGCAGATCACATTAATACCTGTCTTCCTGTTTCTCAAGACATCATTAATGTAGCTCTTTAAAGCCAGGTCTGCTTTTCCCTTTCATGCCTCTGAAAACTTCTGTGCTTATGGCATAAGCATACTTAAAAAGTGCAGGGCTGCCTCTTTAAGATATTTCATTTTTCCATTTAAAGGTGGACAAAGCTACCTCCCAAGAGTAAAATACAAAGAGTAATTTATTTACACAGGGAAGGTTCAAAAACTGTTCAAGTAGCATTCCAATCTGTAGCCACTCGTGAATATCAACAAGAACACTTCCAATGAGTGCACAGCCAAGAGAACAAGCTTCAGCAGGCAGCTTTCTTTTATCTCCCACCTGGACAGAGACTCTTTTGAGATTCGCCAGCATTTAAAAGATTTCTTAGCCTCTTCCTTTTCATCAGCCTGAAACGGTAACTCTATTCTGACTTTATTACTTGATTCTGTCTTCTCTGTATAACTCTTTAAGTC